TTTTAGTAGCAAGAGAATAGAGAGGACCAAAAGTGAAGCAGTTAGCAGAATCGGATCTTTGTGTGGTTCAGATTATTCATGAAGGGACCAAGGATATCAAAACTTGTAGTCCAGAGTAATGAGTTACCCTGTGCCTGTGAACTGTCTTCAGTTGTACTCTTGGAACTCTGGATACTTTGTGGAAGACTGTGACCAAGGTTTACTTGTGAATTATGATATTAATTATTCATGCATTTGCTTTGCATTGAACAACTGTGATATAGTGCTTTTTTCTTACCGTGAAATAAATGTTTTAAATTTAAAAATTAGTGGTATCATCATGCTGATTGATTTTATATAGATGGAAGGTATAACAGTGGATCATCAGGAATTATAGTGGAAGTGTACTCCCACCAACACACATACACACACACACACCCCTACTGACTGTAATTCTGGGCAATCCCTTAACCTCTCAGGCAACTCTCTAAGCCTATAAAGTATAGAACAGTCACCGATGTGTGTTACTAGAGGGGTTTTCCTTCCTTACAATTCCATAAACCATTGAGATCAGAGGTGTGGATCAAAAAAACTGATCTGTACTGAGTGTTCATAAGTCTCAATGTTTCCTCTGAAAATCAGTAGAATACTAAGAAAGTGATATTTTGTGCTAGTGAGATTTTTTTTAGACTGTTGACCAAACCACCTCCACTGAGGAAATGCTCCAACATTAAAAGAAATTATATAACTCAATTCTCCTCTTCCCATCTGAGAGGCCTCTAGAAGTATTTTCTGCATGACCTAGCCTTGGTAGGGAGAGCAATTCAATTGCAATATCATCTACGGCTGTGCCTCACTCTTGAGGCCCCCAGCTCATAGCATTAAGCTCACAGCCCTAATCTCCATTCCCAGGGAGCTAGTCATGGGAACCATGGGAAGCATCATGACCTGAATTTAGACACCAATGTAACTTGGGGCTTAGCGGTGTCACCAAAGGGAGCTGTTGTTGTTGTTGTTAATTGCGGCAGCTAAGTGACACGGGGATAGTGCTTCAGGCCTAAAGTCAGGAAGATTTATCTTCCTGAGTTCAAATGTGGCCTCATACACTTAATAACTATGTGACCCTGGGCAAGTCACTTAACCCTGTTTGTCTCAATTTCTTCATCTGTAAAATAAACTGGAGAAGGAAATGGCCAACCACTCCAGTATCTTTGCCAAGAAAAACGCAAATGGTGTCACAAGGAGTCAGATACAACTAAAACAACTGCACAACAAGTAACTCGGGGCTTAGTAGTGTCACCAAAGGGAAATGGCCAGTAATAAAGAACTATAGACAACATGGGAGCTTTTACAAAGGAATGTTTACTTCAAAAGTATAATCAAAAATATACAAACATTCGCTCCAGCATAAAGGGAGGCATAGTCCTCCTTCCCTTTGGTATCAGCTCAGTTTCTGGGGAAAAGCAGAGGAGTAGGTTCATAGCTCTGCTCAGTTCCTGTGTAGCACAGTCTCAGTTTCAAATCCAAAATCTACCTCAGACTTGAGTCCCAGGCACTCTGGCTTCTCAGGGTTTCCATGCCAGGCTAGCTGGCTGTACAAACTTATTTGCTAATTAAAGGAGGACACCCCCACCTCAGATGATGGGGAGGCAATGGCTCCATGTTAGACATACTGGACATGTTCAAATGCTCCTCAAGGCCGGCTCCAAGTTAGAACTGGATGTGTTCAGAGAAGTCCCATGCTACATATAAATGGCAGAACCAAAAGTGAGCCTACTATAGACTGTTGAATATAAACCATATAACCACCCATTTCACAAATGAAAAAGCTGAGATGAAGGAAGGAAAGGGAGATCATACAGTTATCTTGATTGAAAGCTGTCACATTTTTGGGAATCCAATCTACATGGATGAGTTAAATATTCATTATTTCATTCTTCCTCTGTAAAGGGAAGGCAGCACCTGCAACTTCATTAGATCATATACAGGCCCAAGGCCCATGTCTCTGACTTTCAGGAAAAACCAGTTTTTGTTGTTTGGAGGTTATTGAAGGATTAAACCACAACATCAGGTTTAACTGAGCACAAGATCTCTAGAGGAACAAAATCAGGTACGGAAAAGAGTTGTGCCTTAAATCTATCAAGTTATTGATGTCATTGGAGTTCCAGGATAGAATCAGAACCCCTTAAGGCCTCTTTCTTAGTTCTGAAATGCTCCCTACTTTTTTTCTGACCACCTCTTCACCAAACAGTCCTTCCTGGAAATACTTACCCCTCCCATTGGGAATAGTTAAGTCTATAGGACCTAAGCCTCTACCTTATCTCTACGAAATACAAAGACCATTGGCAGGGATTTTCAGAGATAAGAAATCTCCAGGCTCATGGTTGTCCATTATTTTATTAATTGAGCATTCGCTAAGCACCTAATGTGTACTGGGAACAAAAGAATCATAGATTTAGAGCTGCAATGAAACTTTAGAAGCCAGTTAATTTAATCCCCTCATTTTACACATGAGGAAACTGAGGTTCATAAAGGTGAAGGTCACACAGGTAGTGACCATGGTGGGATTTAAACTCAATTCTCTGGTATCAAATTTGCTCTTTCTACCATATCATGCTGCCTTTCATTTTCAGTCCTTGACTTCTAGGAGCTCATAAGACATGGACATAAAAAACCATGAAACAAATCAGACTATGGCAAGTACATAGGAGAAGTGTAAGCAAAGCACAAGAAAAATTCTGAGGAGAGAGAAGATACCTCTGATTGGAGGAATTAGGAGGTGCAGCTGCTGATCTGGGCCATAAAGAATACATAGAATTTAAATAGGCAAAGATGAGATGAAGAGGCAAGAAAACAGTTCACACACAAGTGATGAGATCAGCAAATTCATAGAGTTGGGAAAGTTCATAATGAACTTAGTGTTGAACTTACTGTTCATAATGTTCTTAAAATTCATAATGAACATAATGAACACATCCTGATGGGTAAATAGCTCAATTTGGTGAACAGTTTAGTACTATGTGTTTTGCAATGTACAAATAACATGAAATAAGGCTGGAAAGCAATGTTAGAGCCATATTACAAAGATCCTTGAATGCTGAGCTAAGCAATTTAGTCTTTATCTACCACAAAGGAGAGCAAAGGAAGGGTTTTGAGCAGAAGTGCAGCATAACCAAATGTGAGCATTTGAAAGGTTAATCATGCAGGAGAGGTGAAGAAAGGATCAGAGAAAGAAGAGATTGGAGGAAGGAAAACCAGTTGGGAGATTATTGCAATTGTCTAAGTGAAAGGCAATAATAGGAATCATAGAATTTTAGAGTTGAAAGGGATATATAGTGAAACAATGCCTCACTTAACAGATGAGAAAATGGATGCCTAGAGATAATTAAATAATTTGCCCAAGCTCACTTAGAGAATAAATTACATTCAGTCAATAAGCATCTATTAATCATTTAATAACGTGTACTAAGGAATACAAAGAAAGTCAAAAACAAAACTTTGCATGTCAGATTAGTCCAAACCTCAAGACATCAGAGCATTTGGCACAGTTCCGTCTTAGAAAACACAGAAGAATGCAGCTTAAACTGTGGGGCCTCTGAAATAGGCCCTTTGTCCTTGAGGGGCTTCACACCTGTGCTGGGGACACCTCTCTACAATTTCTCAACAAGTTTTCCCCCCCATTCTGTGCATGGGAGTGGGGACAGTGGGGAGAAGAGGAAGGTAGGCTTTGTGCTGACCCATCTGGATTTAGTGTAGACCTTAAGAGGGGCCTACTATAGAGCAGCACATGTGCAGTGTATATAGTAGCAAGGCACTGAATGACTCTGAACCTTTGGAGCTATGGGTCCTTAAGCAAGTTACTTCCCTCTTGAAGCTTCTCCCAGTCTGGCTCCCATCTACTTTTCCAGACTTACTGGACTTCCATATTACTTCCTTTCAACAACTCCGTATTTCATCCAAATTAGCCTACTAATTAATCTGGTGACAAAGAAGTCAACAAATGGCTTCATGTCTATGAGAAAGTAAACACCCAGAAGGGAGAATTTTGCAGCTGAGTTAACAATCTGGTGCCAGCCAAAGGCTTTGCAGTCATGGGATGTAGTGTCCTCTATAAACCATCTCAATAGGGAAGTTCAGGATTTGGGCCTCCCTGATACTGTAGTCTTGGGCCACATCTAAGTCCTGATCAATCAGGGCTGTTTTGAATACCAACAGACAGACAAACCTAGCTCCCTCTGCCCACACAGCTTTATTCAACAGGACAGAGAAAAGTAGTCCCTCTTAATAAGTAATAATTAATTAGTTCGTAGTGATTGGCCTCATTTTCTTCATTTATCTGATAACAGTGTTGAGAAGATGATTTCTAAAATCTCTTCCAAGCCTAACATTGTTTGTCACTATATGTTAGCCTTCCCAGAGCACATTTATCTGAAAGACGAGTGGCATGCCTAGAAGGGAAAAGGCTTAAACTGAAGAAACGAATCTCTAAAGATAGGATTTCAAACATTTCAAGTACATGGGAGTAGGGAGGTGGACCAATATTTTAGCACAAAAGAGAGTTTTTTACGTTCCTCACATCACCAAACTAGACAATCACCTGTCACATACATGCATTTGTGATTCTGCCCTCAGGATGGGTGAAGGGATGGAAAACAGATTTACATGGGAAGGATTTATCTAAACCTGAGAATGATTAGAGAGTTGGGTCTATTGCAGAAACAGATAGGAAGCCATGAGAGGACCCTTCTACCCCACTGTGCACAAATGCACAAAAGAGAAAGGCTTAGTGTTCCCACCAACTTGTCATGCAGAAGTGAAAAGTTAACAAATGGCCTTAGGTCTTGACCAAGGTTGTATATTTAGTGAGTGGCAGAACCAGGACTGTGATCTGACCTTTGTGCCAGGCCATCATTTGCTCTTTGCATCTCCTAACTTTCCTCACCTAGACTACAATTCTCCCTTTTTCCTTTTTTCTACCACCCTGACCCCTTCTGCAGGAAGAAATAAAGAAATGGGACTCAGAAGAGGTCTGTGCTTTTTTATTCAAGGCAGTAACATTCCTGCTTGCACTTGGTGATGCTCCATGCAGAGATGGGGTTCTTCAGCACTCTTTGTGAGATGAACCAGTCACACAGCACTGCATGCCAGTAGGACAGATACCATCAATTGCCTTTTTGCAGGGTAATGATTTTGACCGACAGGTTGCAGGAGGGCACACACTACAGGAATACAGAGGTCTCCTTGGGATTCCAGTGTAACCTAAAGTACAGAAACATACATCATCTTTAGCTCAGAGAATGCCAACTCATTTGCTTGTTAGGATTTGAGAGCTGTGAGTCAAATATAAGTAAACCCCAGAAAGGCTTACCAAAATAATACCTTGCTTTTCCAGCATGGCTACTAGAGTCTGTCTCCTTTTTCTATCACTACAAAATATCCATTAGGAGACAGTTAAGCGATGCAGTGGATACAGGGAACAATTAGGCTTCTTTCCCCCAAGGATAATAAGAATACACTACTAGTTCAGAAATAACCCATATTTGCTGAGGACGATTGAGGGCTAGTTCTTAAAGTATTCCAGTTGGTGGGGATATTTGAGAGGAAAATGGCAGGAATAAACCATTTAGCCCCTTTCTCCCTAAGTCTTTTACCTCAGGACTCAGACTTATTACAATGGATTTTTTGTTCAGTCATTTTTCAGTCATGTAGTTTTTCATGACCCCATTTGGGGATTTCTTGACAAAGATACTGGAGTGGTTTGCCATTTCCTTCTCCATCTCATCTTACAGATGAGGAAAATAAGGCAAACAAGGGTTAAGTGACTTGTCCAGGGTCACACAGATACTAAATTTCTGAATGCAGTTTTAAACTCAAGAAGATGAGTCCTCCTGACTCCAGGCAAGCAACTGTATCACTATCCACTGCATCATTTAACTGTCTCCTAGGGGATATCTTTTTCTTTTAAATACAAGTTCAGAAGGTCCTTATATTCATATGTACTCAGGGCTATTTCCACCTATTGTGTTTTCAGGAGACAGCAAGGCATTGTCTGTACACAGGAAGGAGAGAGTAGGGAAAGGTTGTCTGGACAGATCCTAGACAAAAAATGTGGGGAGGTTAGCAAAGTTTTCTTTTTCTTTCTTTTCCCTCCCTCATCTTAATAATACTCACCCTTCCCAACACCCTCCATACTCTTTCTCTCTCCCTCTCTCTTTCACACACACACACACACACACACACACACACACACACACTCCATACTCTCTTCTACTCCATGTGTTGTAGAAAGGAACCATTTCTGAACAGATTAGGAAGTTGTACTGAAGAGATTAGGATTTGGAATCAGAAGACCTAGAATGAAAACTCAGCTCTGCCACTTACTAATTGTGTGATCTTGGGTAATTAATTTAATTTCTCGGGGCCTTGGTTTCCCTATATGTAAAATGAGGGGTGGGACATTGGAAGCTGTCTAGTTCAAAGGCAGCCACACAGCCTGAGCATGTGAGGAGCCAGCCTGGAGATCAGGTCCCAGAACGGAAGATGGTGAAAGCATGGGATGACATGAAGGCTTGGTAAGGAGTGAAATAGAGACCACTTGAAGCACTTCCAAGACAAAGGTGGCCTGATTTACTCTTTTTTTCCAAGCTAGCCCTTGCCGTAGTTAATTTATATTCATGGAAGAGTCCCTTTAATCTTTTCTGGAATTAGAGGACTTGGGTTCAAATTCCACCTCTCTGAAAATTACTACTTACATGACCTTGGGTCAGTCACTGAACTTCTGTGGGCCTCAGTTTTCTCCTCTTTCAATTGGCAGGTTTAGACTAGATGACCTTCCAGCTCTACATCTATGACCCTATGTTTTTTATCATTTTAAGCTAGATGAGTCCAAAGCCTTTATTTTACTGATAAGGTAAATGAGGGCCAGAGAGAAAAATTTGTCTAAAGTCACATAGCTAGTAAATAGTAGAGATAGGATTTCTACCCAGAGTCCTCTGATTTGGAGTCTGGTGCTCTTTCCACTGTAATATGCCACATTTGCCTTATTTGTTCCACCCACTAAATCTCCTCTGTTTTTGGTAAAGCAGCTATCTTCTCCAACCACATTTTTACTCAGTTATGATCATAAATTGTTAAAACTGAGGGGATGCTTACAGATCATCTATTCCAACTACTCTATTTAACTGATATGGAAACTGAGACTCAGAAAAAGAAAATGACTTTACTCAAGGCTACATCACAAATTTCATAGCAAGAGGATCAATACTGATAATAGCTGACATTTATACTGTCCTTTAAGTCTAACAAACACATTTAAATATATTGTCTCATTTGATCCTCTTAACCACCCTAGAGAACAGGTGCTACAGGCAATATTATCTCCATTTTATTGGTGAAAAAAACTGAAGCTCAGGGCAATGGACTGATTTGTCCATGATTCTGAGTTCAATATAAAGATGGAGAGACCCAAAATGATGAAATTCACATTAGGGAGTTTCAATATTCAGAGTGAAATTAAATTAGATTATTTACAGAAGTTCAGAGTTAGGGTGGAGATAGGAGGCTCTGTGAGAGTACATTAAAGAAAGAGAAGTTTCAGAACAACCATTGTGCAAAATGAGCCAGGTAATTGACAAGGGATGACTAAGATGTGTTGGCCGTTTCCATGACACTGAGGACAAATATAAGCAGCACATGGTAGTAACCAGGAGCTTTAGCGGCCAGTGCACTTCCACCCTCAAACCCCGAATTGTCCACTTTGAGGAGTGGGGAGTGGGCCTTTCCCCCAACTACAGGGTAGATGATCTCCAAGTCTCCTCCCATGATTGGTCTTCTCAGGAGGAATTCAATGGATGTCCCTTCCCAGGTACTCTCTACATCACAAAGACACTCTAGAGAATGAGTTCCTCCCCCCTACCCCGAGTTCCAAATGTTCTGGAAAGTCAACAGAGCCTGAGAATGTCTATCCTGGCTCTTACCTGATGTTGCCAGGGACAGGACAAAGACACCAATGAAGAGAAAATACAGGAATTTCATGGTAGAAGTGTGACTGCTGCCCCAGATCCCAAAGATATGAGAGTTAAGAGAGTTGCTGATATCTTAAGTGAGGTATGTAGAAAATCCTTGAATTTATAGAGCTGTTATCTCCCCACAAAAGCAGAAGTAATGTAATACCACTCAAGACTTTCTGACACTCATAAACCACACCCCTGGCAAACCAAGAAATTAGCAAATGCCCATTTGACCACTTCACCAAACCTAGGACCACAAATATAACTCAGCATCAAAATTTCACAGAATCTCAGTCTTGTCAGGGACCTCATAGGGCTTTTAATACAATCCATCACATGAGCAGGAATCATATCTACTGAATACTTACTATCGGACAAGTGTTTGTCCAGCTCTTGTTTGAAGACCTTCAATAAGGGTAAACCAAATGTATAGTCTTAAATTGGGGGAGATTATTTTTTAATCTTAAAAGGTCAATTTATGTGAATAATATGTTGCTTAGGGGAAGAAAGTCAAAGGCAAATTAAAATATTCCCAATATTTCTGCCTTTGTCTTTATTATTCCTTCCTAGGACAGCTGTTATAACTAGTCTCCCTGCTCTCTACTCTGTTCTCTACATCTATCCATTCTGCACACAATTATTAGATTAGGTTTCTTAAAGGACAGAGTAGGGAGGGGAAGAGAAGATAGAAAGGAGAGAGAACTCTGTATTTTTAACACTTGGAGCTCCCTTCCAGGTCTAAATGAAACATCTGGCTACTGCACTGGACATCATCACCACTCCCCTTCCTTTCCTCCTCCCCCCTCAAAGCCCCTTCTCATCTACTAGTCCCTGTGTTCTCTTTGACCAGCTACTTTGCATAGTCCCAAGCCCCAGTCATTCAGCAAACTCCATTGGCTGAAATATATCCATTATAGATATATTGCAATGTGTGTGTGTGTGTGTGTGTACATACAGACATAGATATAGATATAGATAGATATAGATAGAGTATATGATAGCATTTGAGAGGTTCATGCCCCCCCCCCAGGATTGAAGTACAGGACAGGTTCATCTAGAATGAATTGATGGATTCAAGCATTCTTTAAGTCAAGTTGGCAAAGATTTATTATAATGCTAATATGGAGGGCAGAGCTCCTTAAGGAATTTTGCCATGGTTGGCAGAGCTCTCTAGGGAACTTGCAACCTAACAGGAATGATGCTAAAGCTTATATAGGAAAAGTAGTAGTGGATTGTGTATCAAGTATGCTAATTAAGTGATAACATACTACATTAGTCACGGTTGTTATTTACTACTGGAAACCAGGGAGGAGGTTCCTAAGGAGTGTATTTTTATTATGTTATATCTGTGACAAGATAGCTTCTGGAGTTGATGTTGATAACTTGACCTCTGGATCACACACGATAACTATGGGAATCAGTACATGATAGTTTTGTTGATACAAGACTGTCTTGTTCATACAAGGGCAATTCTACAGAGGTCAGCTTGTTCTTGTAGCAGGGAGAGATAGTGAGATAGTTACCTCACTGGGTCTACTCCTGAGTTATTTCCAGAGATAGGGTCTTTGGCCTGGGGATAGTGTTTTGAGGCTAAGGAGAAATATGACCTTGGAAGTGAGGTACAGGCACCCAAGTATCCCATCAGCATATAAATATATATACTGTGGGAGCGGGGTATATATTTAGTCCCTGGAAGCTACATTTCCAGGAAAAGTGACATAATTTTATTTGCTATCCACAATGTCTAGTCCCTTCTGATTCTTTTAAAAGGAAGTATTCAAGATGTACAAGATGTGCATTAAAAAATAGATTTCTGAGTAGTGTACAAGCCTTTGACTTCTTTCATTTTGTTAATCCTGTTTTTCCCAACTGGGGGGGGGGGAATGGGGAGTTTGGGGAAGGGTGTCATTTTCTCTTCTGCTCACCTTCTCATTAAAGACATCAAGAATCAAGATATATGTTGATTTAGTCGGGGTTAGAGATTCTTGTCAAGTTCTACATAGAAATTTTCTATTTCTTCATCCTCTAAAACAGATGTTGGGACATAAGCTGCCAAACATAGAGGCCTTCTTTGGTTTTTAAAGCTCTTAACAGCTTGACCCTAAACTATCTTTCCATTCTTATTATATATTACTCCCTTCTCAGTCTCAACAGATCAGCCAAACTGTTCTTCTCCCTATTCATCACCCATAGCACTCAATCTCCCATCGCCATGTCCCCCATGCTTAGACTGTACTTCCTCCTCACTTTGACCTCATAGAATCCTTCACTTCCTTCAAGACTTAGCTCAAGCACCAGCTTCCACAGTAAAACTTTTCTGTTTCCTTAACTGATGGCAATCTCCCTAGCTACATTGTGTTTGGCTACCTTCAGTTTGCTTTATATTTGTTCTTTATGTGTTTATTCAATATATATTTATATATGTGTTTGTTGTCTCCCCCCAGTAGACTATAAACTACTTCAGAGTGGAAATCATTTCAAATTTTGTCTTTGTATACCCAGAGTCAGGACTGGGACATCTTAAGAACTTAATAAAAAACGTGTTGATTAGTCAATTGTTTAATTTAATATCTTCATTGTGGTCTTTTTGCTTACACTTGTTATGGTCACTTCAAGGGCAATTGACCAAAGATTACATGAAATTATATTTCTTGTTGCTTTGGGCACATAATGAAACCATCTCTTAATTCATCTTTTTTCAGGATATATACACATACACATACATACATACATACATATACATATACATACAGTATGTATGTATATAAATATATGTAGCATATATATGCCTACTATGTGTATATATGTGTGTATATGTATGTATTGTATATGTATATTGTGTGTATGTGTATGTATATCCAGTCCCACTTCCACCTGATGGTAAAAGAACAGAAAAGAGGGCAGAGGATGCTATAATCACACAATTCATAGACCCTCTAATTAATATACATATATATATATGATATATAACACATAAATATGTCTATGTATATATGTGTGTACATGGAAGTATATGTGTATACACACAGTATATATGTACAATATATATACTGTGTGCATATAGTGTGCATAATATATGTACATATGTATATATGTACATGTACGTGTTTGTATGTACATGTGTGTATGTGTGTGTGTGTGTTTATATAAACATACCCATTTGTGTATGTGTGTGTTGTGTGTATATTAATTGTGTTGTTGTGGTTCTCACCTAGACCCTTTTCCCAGCCCCTTCCCAGGTCACCCAAAGTTACTTTAGTGCATGTAAGATCCACCCTGCCCCCATTTAAATGCTGAGACTTTCTCATGCCCAAAAGGCTGAGACTTTTCATGCCCACTCATCCTTACAGGAGTCACCTATGGTTTATTCCTAATAAACTTTTTCCTCTGGCTGAAAGAAGATTTGGGTTGAATTCATTCAAGCAGGGCCCATGTCGTAATCCTGGGGTCCTAGCACCCCTAAACCTCTAGACCTCATCACAATTGCAAGTCAATTGGATTTAAGAGAGGGAGGGCTGTGCAAAGTCACCAGCCTCACTTTCTCCTCGGGAGCCATTATGGGTCCAGTGGCCAGATATAGATCAGGACAACTGGAGGTGGCCCAGGATACAGTAGGAGACCTTGGCCTTTTTAAGCTAAAGTATTTCAGGGTTCTTACTTTGACTAAGGAAGGCAGCACCCATTCAGTGATTAAGGTCCTTTAAGAAGTGAGGCAAGGGATGGACCCTTTAATAACAAAAAAAAAAAAAATCAAACTGGGAGGGGAAGACCCTCAGGGTTTCTGGCCAAAAGAGAAATAATTGCTATTTACACTCACTCTGATCCATCAGGGCCCAAACAAAAATCTTTAAGTTGTGCTTGGGTGGGGACCTATTATTGGCCAATCAATGAGAACCAAATCACCCTGGGTTTCAGACATGGTCTTTAGGGGAAAAATCTAGTTAGTAAACCTCAAGATATCTAGGTAGGTTTGAGTCTTCCAAATTTACCTTCCTTTGGGCAGAGCACCCTCAGGTAATGGCATGATATCCCACGTGTAGAGAAGAGAGGAGCTGAGTATATTAATTAGAGAGTAATTAATAATAAGAGGACTTGACTTGAGATTTCCAGTGCAGATCAGCACCAACTTAGAGAGTTGCCTGGAACACCAAGAAGTTAAGTGACTTGCCCAGAGTCACATAGAGTCAGTATGTGTCAGAGAGACAAGTCTTGAGACTATATCTCCGGGGCTTTGAGGCCAACTCTCTGTCCACTACTCCACAATTTGATCTTTACAACAATTCTGTAGGGGATTCAGGGCAAGTATTTGTATTGTGTCCATTTTATAGATGAGGAAGTCACAGTTCAGAGATGACATAGCTTGCCAAAGTTCACCTAGAACCTGGCGCCAATGAGACTAGAAGCCATATTTCCTGGTTCTAAACTCAACACTGTTTCTCAGTACCACCTTCCCTCTCCATAACCTTCTGAGTTTAGGAATAAGGAACCAGAAAATATATCTGTATCTAGCACAGTGCAAAGAAAGTAACAGTTTCCCTTTTGAAGCATCATTTAAACTACTTTAAACTAATAATGCGCAATGCCCAACCCATACCAGGTCTGCCCAGGGAATTACTACAACTCACTGGCAAGAGACACCCTAGCTAACGTTACTCTAGCCACAGTTTGATCACTTCACTAAGCTACCTGATCCCCTTCCCAACAATCATCCAGTGAGTGATTACCATTATTTCACCTACAAGGGAACCTAAGAAGTTTGAGTGAAAATCCTTGAAGATCTGTGAAGAGTTAACTACTGAAGAGCTAATTAAGTATGTCAAGTCAGTGATAATAAATATTAGCTCGTTGTGTCAAGAACCTTATTAAAAATAGTGTGTGAATTTTATTTTCCATTACAAAATACCTCCTTCAGAGATTAGTGGACTCTTCTTACCTTCTCTTTGTTTCTTTTCCTCAACTTCTCTTTCTCCCCCCTCACTAACTTTTTTCCTTCATGAAATTCTCTCTCCTCCTGTCTTGCATTTCTCTTCCCTCTCTTTCTCACTTTGAATCCCAATTCTGTTGCTTACTAGCTATGCAACCTTAAACTCTCATTGT